TGGTATGTGGAGCTAAGATGGGTATGGGAGAGAGGAGAGAGGAACAGGAGCCAAAAACTTACAAATAAACAAAAAAGAATGCTAGGGGAGCTTGCCGTTGGAGTGGAGAGATGAGAGACTATGAAATGGAGAAAAACAAAAAGGAGAAGAAGAATAAAAAAATAAAAGAAAAAAATTAATAAATAAAAATTAGAAAGAAAAAAGAAAAGCAAAGCTCCCAGGGATCCCACCAGTGTGGTTACAAGGTCTGAGGAAGTTTCTCCCAGGAGGTGAAGTACAGCCTGGCTAGAAGACATTGAGGTGTCACTCAGTGCCAGGTATTCAGGGGACAGGAAGAGATGGAAGGTACAGAAAGACGAGAAGCTGAATAATGAAGAAAGACAAAAAGGGAAAAAGAGGGAAAAGAAAACAAAACAAATTAAAAAAAAGAACAAGAAACCCCCCGAAAAAAAACAGAAATAAAAACACCATAAAAATGTTCTCAGGAATCCCTCTGTGCCACTGCACAAACTGAGGGGGTAGATCCCAATCCATGCTCTACTGCCCAGCTAGAATGGGCTCCCAATTCGAGAAAAGAAAAAGAAAACAAACAATTCAAAACAAACAAACAAAAAAACCCGGGATCTCACCAGCATGGCAGCACAGACTGGGAAGCAGTTTCACATTCAAGTGAAGTTTCACAGCCTTTCGGGAAGAAGCTAAGATGGTGCATGGAGCCAGGTATTTGAGAGAAAGGAGGGGATGGTGGTGAGAGGTAAGGAAGAAATCAAAAGAAGAGAATAAAAGCAACACCAGCAGCCAACAAATGGCACTCAAGGAGTTGGCCAGTGTGGCAGGTGGAATCCAAGTAGCTAGTGCTTCCCAGCCAAGAGATTGTGGTCATGGGAAGCAGAGGAGGCCGAGTCGGGGTGAAGAAGGGTGGGGGGTGGGAAAGCGTATATTGCTTGTTACCAGCTGTTCTGTCTCCTTCTGGAAGCTCTGTGAAGCTGCTTTCTCCTATCCCGTGTTTGCTGGTCTCTCATAGGAGTCCAAGATGGCGGATCCATGCTGCGTTAGCTGATAGGGGACCTCTGCATGTATTTCTCCTTGCCGTCTGTTCTCTGTTAGTTTCTTATTCCATTTGGTGCTTGGCTGAGTTCTTTATCTCTTCATTTGATGCTTAGGGTTTCAGGATTCCTGATTTCTATGTTTGGCTTAGTTTTTCAAATTTTGCTGTGGAGGGACGGCGTGGTGCTTCTGCCTAGAGAGCCATGTTGCCCTGAAGTCCCGCCCATGGCTTATGTTTTTATTATACAATTATGATCAAAGTAACATTTTCAGACCATTTTTATTCATACAAGCAGGAGATTAATAAAAATAAGCAGAATGAAAGAAAATGAACAGACTGATATGATTTACCTCTAATACAAGAGGACAGGTGTATAAGGTCAAAATTCACTTCTAGAAGTGTCATGAGACATGCATGGTATGTGCAAGAGTGGACTATGCCAGAACTATTTTATTTAATTTTATCATTTCCATGAGTTGTATACATGAATGGGTTATTTATGTGGGCACATTATTTGCAAATAGTACTGTATGTATATGTGTGTGTATGTATATATGCCATCCTCATATATGGTAGTTAATAATTTGGAATGTGCTTTCATGATAGCTCTTTGAGGAAGGAATTTTTATTACCCTAATTTTACCAATAAGCAATGTCATGCTCAGAAGATTTAAAGAACTTTTCCAAGTTTATGACACCAACTAATGGAGGAGATGCTGTTGAGTTCAGTTAAGGAAAAGAAGGGAAATGAGCATTCTAATAAAGAGAGGTACTTATAAGTTTTACTATGGAAAAGCCATTATGTTTCAGAAAGAGGTGTCTTTCATGAACTTTGAAAACGTAGTTTTAAAAAAGGAGGAGTGGGAAAAGGATCAAGGATGATCAGGCTGAATTGGGAGGATAGTGTCACTCCTTTTTTTTTTTTTTTTTTAATGTTTGTAGGCAAAGAGGAGAGGAATGAGAAAAGCTTGAAGCTACAGCAAAGTCTAGGATAGATTGTGCATATCTAAAAGCTGAGAGATAGAAGAAGAAATTTAAGACATACAGTGGAGGGTGGCTAATCAGAGGAGTGTAGTAAGGTAGTAGAGGTCCCTGGGTGATGCAAGTGGTTTGAATTCAACAACTAACAAAAAGGTTGGTGGTTTGAACATACTCAGTGCTGCTGTGAAGGAAAGCCCTGGAGATCTGCTTCCAGAAAGATTACAGCAAAAAAAGAAAAAACCCTATGGA